GGCAAGACTTTCCCAGCTTGGTTGGGCTTAGCAAGCCTTACTAATCGTGGGAGGGCTTTGCAGAGCTTGGCAGGGCAGAGCAAAGCTTACCAGGTCTCAGCAGGGCGCAGAAGGACTTGGCAGGGCTGTACAAGGCTTGCCAGGCCTTAGCAATGGCTAGCAGGGCTGTCGGGTTTAGTATGGCCTACCAAGACTTTGTCAGTTCAGCAAGGATCAGCAAAGCTCAGCAACGCTAAGGCCCCACATGGGTTAACAGGGCTGAGCAAAGCTTGCCGAGGCCGAGCATGGTTGAGCAAGACTTCGCAGGGCTTTACAATGCTGGCCAGGCCTTGGCAGGGCGTCGCAAGGCTTACCTATGCTTGCTAAGGCTTGGGGGATTTAGCAGAGCTTTCCAGGGCTGAGCAGGGCGCGGCAAGGTTTCTCTAGGCTTAGGGGCTTACCACGAACGACAAGTGCTTAGCAAGGCTTAGCAGAGCTTAGCAGGGCTCAGCAAAACCTGCCGGGGCTCAGCAGGGCGCACCAGGACATAGCAGGGCTTTGCAGAGCCTGCCAGGGCTTAGCAGCGGCTAGCAGTGCTCAACAGGGCGTACTAAGACTTTGAGTACTTAGCAGGCCCAGAAGGGCTTAGAAAGTTTGACAAGGCCCGGGCGGGGCTTACGAAGGCTCAGCAAGGCTTACCAGGTCTTAGCAGGGCTGAGCAGGCTTAAGGCTTCGCGCGGGGCAGCAGGGCTCAGCAAAGCTTGCCAAGGCAAGGCTCACCAGGGCTTACCAACGCTTGCCGAGCTTAGCTGGGCTTCGCAAGGTAAGCCGAGCTTAGCAGGGCGTACCAGGACATAGTGGGGTTTTCCAGAGCCTGCCAGGGAATAGCAGGGCGTACCAGGACATAGCAGGGCTTTGCTGAGCTTGCCAGGGCTTGGCATTGGCTGGCAGGCCTCATAATGGTTTAGCAGTTCTTAGCCGAGCTCAACAGGACTCGCCAAGGCTTGGCAGAACTTCCCAAGACTTCGCAGGGTTCTACAATGCTGACCAGGCCTTGGCAGGGCGTCGCAAGGCTTACCTATGCTTGCTAAGGCTTGGGGGGATTTAGCAGAGCTTTCCAGGGCTGAGCAGGGCGCGGCAAGGTTTCTCTAGGCTTAGGGGCTTACCACGAACGACAAGTGCTTAGCAAGGCTTAGCAGGGCTTAGCAGGGCTCAGCAAAACCTGCCCGGGCTCAGCAGGGCGCACCAGGACATAGCAGGGCCTTGCAGAGCCTGCCAGGGCTTAGCAGCGGCTAGCAGTGCTCAACAGGGCGTACTAAGACTTTGAGTACTTAGCAGGCCCAGAAGGGCTTAGAAAGTTTGACAAGGCCCGGGCGGGGCTTACGAAGGCTCAGCAAGGCTTACCCGGTCTTAGCAGGGCTGAGCAGAGCTCAACACAGCTCAGCAGGGCTTAAGGCTTCGCGCGGAGCAGCAGGGCTCAGCAAAGCTTGCCAAGGCAAGGCTTAGCAGGGCTTACCAACGTTTGCCGAGCTTAGCTGGGCTTCGCAAGGTAAGCCGAGCTTGGCAGGGCGTACCAGGACTTGCCAGGGAATAGCAGGGGTACCAGGACATAGCAGGGCTTTGCTGAGCTTGCCAGGGCTTGGCAGTGGCTGGCAGGCCTCATAATGGTTTAGCAGTTCTTAGCCGAGCTCAACAGGACTCGCCAAGGCTTGGCAGAACTTCCCAATTCTTGGCAGGGCGGAGCATGGCTCAGCAAAGCCCAGCAAGGCTTCAGGCTTCACAAAGATTAGCAGGGCTGAGCAAAGCTTGCCAAGGCTAAGCAAGGCTTAGCAGGGCTTAATAAAGCTTACCAGGCCATAACAGGGCTTAACAGGGCTCAGCAGAGCTTAACAGAGCTGTGCAGCGAATGGCAAGGCCAATCCAAGCTTTGAGACTTACCAGGGTTTCCCAGGGTCTAACAAGGCCTAGCAGTGCTTAGCACGGCTGAACGTCCGCAGGCTGTGCGAAAATAACCACCTTCACCACCAAGATACCCTCCGGAAATCGGAAGAGTCTGAAGAACACCCCCCCCGAGCATGATCCCCGAAACTCCAAGCTTACCCCTCATGATAATGGGCAATCTCCAAGCAACTCTAAGCTCACTCCAAATCCTCCCGACCATGCTCGGGGGGCATGTTTTCAGTCGATTGGCAGTTCCCCCAGATATCCGCAGACCGCGAGACGATACTGAAGAAGAGGATGCGGAGGAGAATGAGGGCGAGAAAGAAGAGGGCGAGACCATGAGGCCGAAAAGCCTGAACACCTCGTGCAACAGAACGCTTACTCCACGAACCCCTGGCCTCGGAGGAAAGCCACCTCCCATCCTGCCATACATTGCCCACCACATTCTTAATAATCATCTTCACGGTCATGGTCCCCCTCCTCAGCCTTCGCCGCCACTTTCTCAGACTCGTCCTCATGATCAACTTGTCATTCACGCCATAAGAACACAGAGCCCCACCATCATCACCATCAGCGTCATACCCAACAGCCTCCTCATCATCTTTCGCCAACAGCCATCTGCTCAACCTCTCTGTGATATCCCTTCACACTATCATCATCCTCGTCCTCCTCCGTAAATGTATCCTCCGTCCCCTTCTCCTGTACATCCTCTTCACCCTCCTCCTCACTCCTCCCCCATCCCCCTCCTCCCCTTCCTCCTCCTCCTCCTCCTCCTGTTCCCCTCCTCCCCATGCTCCTCCTAATCATCATCCTGACAGCATGCCAGTTGAATCCGAGACACGCACACACCCACACCTACAGAGCAGCAGGGCTACCAACAGGAAGGTATAGATCAACCGCTTCCACGTCCTCATCCTCGTTCTCCTCCTCGTCCTCGTCTGCCTCTTCCTGCTCCTCCTCCTCCTCCTCCTCCACCTCCTCCTCCTCCTCCTCCTCCTCCTCCTCCTCATCATCATCATCATCATCATCATCAATAGCTGCTTGATCGTCAGCAAAGTCATCATCATCATCATCATCATCATCATCATCATCATCATCATCAGCATCAGCATCAGCATCATCATCATCATCATCATGTTCGTCTTCATCTTCATGTTCATCTTCATCAGCCTCATCGTCGTCATCATCATCTGCATCATCATCACCATCGTCGCCATCATCATCGTCATCATCGTCCGCAGCATCAGCAGCATCATCATCATCAGCATCATCAGCATCATCAGCATCCGCATCATCTCCATCAGCAGCCTCATCATCATCAGCATCACCATCATCGGCATCATCATCATCAGCATCACCAGCATCTGCATCATCAACATGACCAGCATCATCATCACCATCATCATCAGCAGCATCATCATGATCATCGGCAGCCTCATCATCATCAGCATCAGCATCTCAGCATCGTCAGCATCATCGTCCTCATCGTCATCATCAGCATCAACATCGTCATCAGCATCGCCATCATCAGCCGCATCATCAGCATCAGCATCATCAGCATCGTCAGTATCAGCATCATCAGTATCATCATCAGCATCAGCATCCTTAATACCATCATCAGCAGCATCAGCATCAGCATCATCATAATCATCAGCATCACCACTATCACCAGCATTATCATCATCAGCAGCAGCATCATCAGCATCATCAGCATCATCAGCATCATCATCAGCATAATTGTCTTCGTCATTATCAGCAGCAGCAACATCATCATCCTCATCATCACCCCTCAGCATTACCATCACCAGCAGCATGAGATTGCTCCTCCTCCTCCTCCTCTTCCTCCTCCTCCTTATGCTCCTCCTGCTCCTCCTCCCCGTCCTCCTCCTCCTCCTCCTCCTCCTCCTCCTCCCCACTTCTCCTCCTTCTTCTCCTCCTCCTCCTCCTTCTCCTCCTCCTCCGTTGTTTACTATGTTGAGTCATCGCCTTCGTGATATGATCCGTTACAATATTCGTAATATCATTAGTGTCGTCGTTTACGTATAGCCCTATGGCCCTATAGCCCTATAGCCCTACAGCCCTATAACCCTATAGCCTTCTAGCCCTATAGCCCCATAGCCCAATAGCCCTATAGCCCGATAGCCCGATAGCCGTATAGCCCTATCGCCCTAGAGCCCTAGAGCACTGTAGCCCTACAGCCCTATAGCCCTATAGCCCCGTAGCCCCAGAGCCCCAGAGCCCCATAGTTCCATAGCCCTATAGCCCTATAGCCCTATAGCCCTGTAGCCCTATAGCCCTATAGACCTATAGCACAATGGCCCTATAGCCCTATAGTTCCATAGCCCTATAGCCCAATAGCCCCATCGCACTATAGCCCAATAGCCCCATAGCCCTATAGCCCTGAAAAGACGTTGATTGGGTTTGCTCTCCGGTATCAGTCTTATTGTTAGCAATAACGAGAATAGCATCGTGTTTCTTGTTTCATGTGTACCGTATTGCTATGGATCGTGTTGTTATTAGTAGCAGTAAAAGTATAAATGATATGCTCCCGATTAGTGGAATTAGTGATATCATCAATATCAGTATTAATTGTATTCGTAACGATAGCATCCACATCATCATTGTCACACTTACCAGTATGATTAATAGTATTATTCGTAGAATTAGTTCTATCATTGTGCTTAATCAGATAATACATTGGTTTCAATATTGTCATACTTCGTCATACTCATCTTCACTGTATGAGATGTATCCGTAGTAATGTTTCGAGTACTAAGATTAATAGTATTGGCATCCGTCTTCGCGTTAGTACTCCTATTAATGTTTTGACAGGGATTCGTCATCTTCTTCGTATTGCTACTATTCGGATTAGTCTCGCATCAATAGTTGCCTTAATACTGCTTGTTGTACTAGTAGTGTGCGGTGCGTTACTACTCATATTAGTGACGTTGCTATTTGTATGAGTGCTACGATTCATTCTCTTATTGTTAGTGCTGTTATCATTATGCTAGCTTCTGATGATGATTCATAGTATCGTTCCTCCTCCTCCCCACCTTTTCTGCAGCGGTCGAAGAGATCGCCTTCATCTCCACCGCACCCTCGGGGGCGGGCTCGACGGGCGGCTCTGGCGGGGCTGGCTTCTCCTCCGCCGGGGTCTCCTCCTGGTCGGTCTGGTGCGCCGAAGAGGGGGCCGGGAAGAGGGGGGCTAGCGTGTCGTGGCCCAGTGCACGTGCACGGGCGCGGGAGGACCAGAGGATGTGCTGAAAGAAAACGACAAGCCAAGGAATCTGGGAAATTTCATGGCCCCGCCCATGGCATCCACACACACACACACACACTGGTCCTCACCCGCCTCTTGTCGGATGAGCGTCTACGGGGAAGGCAGAAGGGAAAGCGGCAGGGTTTCTCAGAAGCCCTCCAGCCCTCTGAGCAGCCGTCTGTGGCTTCGGAGGGGGCCTAGAAGGCTTCTCAGGAGGGGGAGGGTTCACGCGAAGCCCCACAGCTTTCTGAGAAGGCCAGCCAAATCTGCCTCCACCCTGGACGGGAGTCGGGGGCTGTCAAAGGGGATCGGGGCGGAGGCGGGCCCTCTTAACTTTCGTCACATTCGTCGCATTATCTTTGTTTCCTTGTGCTCTCTCTCTCTCTCTGTTCTGTTCTCTTCTGATGGTATGAAAGCCCCGTCAACGGGGACCACCGCTGGAAAACAAGACATCATTGAGAGCTTCGGGAGACACGCCCGGAGATTTGCCGGCGCAGCAGCCCCGACCGCGCTTTTTGCTCCTCGGACACGGCCGACTAAGGAACGCGGGACAGGCAGGGACGACGAAACGGCGGGAGAGCGAGGAGCCGAGGAGCCGAGGAGCCGAGGGGAGGAGGAAGGAGCAGCGCAAGGACGACAAGGGGAGGCCAGACCTCTCTCTCTCTCTCAATATCAGTCTCGAGTGGCTCAAGCCGGACCACCAGTTTCCGCCGTCAGGGACGCAGGGGAGGCGGAGGCGGAGGAGGAGGAGTTGGAGGCCACCAGAGGGACGTACCCAGCCCCCCCTGACCTGACCAGGCCGTCCCGCCAGCGACGGCGACACCACCGTACGCCAGGCCAGAGGACCCCTACGGTCCCCCACGTCCCCCGATGGCCTTCGATCTTACCATGCCGTCGCGCCATCTCGTTCTGGCCACTTGCTGCCGAACTCATTCACCCCTTTTGTTACCGACCTCCGACCCGCCCTCGGATCTCGGGGACTCTGGGAAAAGGCCCCATCCCTGGCCCTACATGCTGACACCGGACCAGCGCCTCAGGCTCCCTGCCACGTGCCATGACTGAGACACGCGACTGACTCTTGCATACGGTTTGCTACGCCCTCGCTGCTGCCTTGACGACACCTTCGGCGCCATCCACAGCGCTACGGGCGCGATGATCAGGCACGCCATCTTCCGACGCCTCACAACAGAAGCGGAAGACGCCTACGACCGACGCCTGTCCTGGCTGGATGCTTTCAACCAGCGCTGGAGACCGACGTACCCCGACGACGACGACTTCGTCTGCACTTGCACTCCGACGCCGTCCGACGACTGGCCGACGGCTACGCTGCCTCCCCGGGGGCACCAGCACCAGACTCATGCTGCCCATCCGCGCCGCTGTTTCCTCCGTCTGCCTCTTCGGGCAAGTGCCACCAGGTGCATTACCCGTGCAGTTCGGGAGCTGTTACACGGTCTTTGGCAAGCATCGTCGCGTGAGGGCCCCTGGCTGCGTCCAGGGGACTGGCTTCCTTTGCACTGAAGCCTCCTCTCCTTTTCCGCACTCGGCCACTCGGTGGCGGTGCCTCCTGGCGCATCGGCATGGGGCAAGAGCGGAGCTGGATTTCGAGCCGTCGCCCGTAAGTTCACGCGGGACGACGCTTGCACTACCCCGCTGGGTGGCCGTTTGCGCTCGTTTTTACCCCGACTATGCTGGGCCAGCGTCCCGCGCAAACGCATTACAGACCGTTCCACGGTTCACGCCTGGGCTGTCGAGAGGGATGCCCCAATGCGGCGCCTTCTTTTCCCAGGCTCTGAGGCGAGCACGCCAAAGCGCGCCGAAAACCGGGGCAGCACGGGCGCGCAGAGGGGGCATGCCACGCCCTCATCGCCACGCCCTTTCAGTTTTTTCCAGTCGGGGTCATTTTTCGACCGAGCCAGGGGGGAGGATTTGCTCCACCCCTGCTTGACAAGCGGCGGCTTCCGCCAGTGTGAGGATGGCCCAGCAGGCCCTCGTACCCGGCGGGCCTGGACAGGCACCTGTCTGAATCAGTGCGCTCTCTCTCTCTCTCTCTCTCTCTCTCTCTCTCTCTACATATATATGTATATATATGTTGGTTTGCAGTTATTACTCTTTATACACCCGTATACAGTTGCGTATACAACTATGTCTGCATATACATAAACACATAGATGCGCACATACATACACAAGTGCATGTGCATAAACATATACAAATACATATGAATACACATGGACATATACATGTATATGTACATGTACATATACATATACATATGCACACACATACATGTCCCTATACTGATTCATATACCTACAAATGTGCATATGTATATACATGTACACATACATATTCATATAAAAGACACATGCACACATACATACATATACATAGCCATATACATACACATATACATAGAAGTATACATACATATACATATACATATACATATACATATACATATACATATACATATACATATACATGTACATATACATATACATATACATAGACATATACACATACACATACATATGTATATACGTATACATCTACATACACATATACATATACATATGCATATGCATATGCATACATATACCTATAAATAAGCATATACATATGAATCTGATGTACATACACATGTAAATATACACCTACACGTGTGCATTGCATATGTATACACATGTGCCTATACAAACACAAATGCAAATGCATATGTGTATATATATATATATCAGGATGCAGATACAAATATACATGTATATACATAAACATACACATATGCATATGCATACATGTATACATATACCTACACATGTACATACATATACAGGTAAACATATATATATATATATATACACCCCTAGATGGCCTAAAAACCTCGCCCAGACATGCATATCCAGCGAAGCTGTGCGATATAGTTTGGATCACCTTTCACGCGCACTCTCTGACAAGGTAATCCAATAGAAGCTCAGGCCTGAGACGAGATAATTTGTCGAACATCGTCGGGCTGTCATCTTGGACGGCCCCTCTTTCGCCCCGCGGAAAAAGCTATGAATTACGAGCGAGGCATGCCGAGCTCGAGGGTGGCTGAGGGTGGGCAGACTTTGAGCCACCGCAGTTGCGGAGGGTCAGCATTTACACGCACGGGCGAGGAGGGGCCTGTTGGGGTATTCACGTCTACGACTATACACACCCCTAGATGGCCTAAAAACCTCGCCCAGACATGCATATCCAGCGAAGCTGTGCGATATAGTTTGGATCACCTTTCACGCGCACTCTCTGACAAGGTAATCCAATCGAAGCTCAGGCCTGAGACGAGATAATTTGTCGAACATCGTCGGGCTGTCATCTTGGACGGCCCCTCTTTCGCCCATACCCATATCATGAACTGGTGGCCGCTACTTTTCACGAATCTTCTGAAGGAGGACCTGCGGCAGGCGCCTGCTGTGCTCCGCCGCCTTCCTCTGCTTGGCCAAGGGAACCTCGCGCAACTGCTGCAAGATCAGGGCCCCCTTCTCGTAGCGAGCCACCGACGCGGACGATGCCCATCGCCCGCGCTTCTGAACCTCTTTCAACGTCCTCCGGGAGTGCGCTTTGTCGTTGCTGGCGCCTGAGTGCCGGAAGACGTGCGGGCACACGCCCAGGGAGGTGTAGCCCAGGCGGCAGGCCGACTTCTTCACCTCGCGCTCGTAGTCGCCGAGGGTGAAGTCGAAGATCTTCTTCTTGTCCGACACGTTGGGCTTGTGGAGCAGCCGCAGCACGCTCGTGAGCCAGGGCCTCGCCACGTCGCCCACGAGCAGGCTGTCGTCCTGACCGCCCGTCTTCGTGGTCTCGTGCCACTCCGAGGGCGCGATGACGATGCCATAGTGCGCGCCGAGCTTCGCGACCGGCGCCGGCGGCAAGATCTGGCCCTGCCTCAGGCCCACCACCTCGGAGGGCCGCGTGTAGGTGTCTGTCTGGATCACCACCGCGGCCCCCATCAGGGGGTTCCCGTGCTCCACCAGGTCCAGCGCGATGTCGTCCACGATGATGTCGGGCAGCGGCAGACGCATCCTCCCGGGCGCCCGCTTCGTCCAACCCTTCAGGGAGGCCAGCGCCTTCGGGAGGTCGACCTTGCCCGTCGTCCGGAGCCTCAGCAGCTTGTACCCGTAGAAGGCGTTGCGCCCCTCCCAGACCCCGAAGCCGTCGTCGAACAGGTCCACGAAGTAGAGGGAGAGGCTGTCGTCCAGGCGTGCTAGCGGCTGCAGCGGCAGGCGCCTCTCCTTCGCGTAGGTCTCGAACTCGTGGACTGCCGTCGCGTACCTCTCCAGCGTGCCACCGGTCACCGTCGCCATGATCAGCGAGTCCCTCCGCGGGACGGTGATGGGGCCTGCCCGCCGGGGGCCTGTGGGCTGCCGCGGTCGGCCCTTCCCCGGTGGCGGCTGCCGCCCAGTCCGGGTGGGCCCTCCAGCGCCGGGGCCGCTCGTCCTGGCCGAACTGGATGATCGGGTCGTGCTCAAGGAACGAGTCGGCGGCCTGGCAGGCTGGCTCACGGGGTTCGTCGACCTCACCGTGAACCGATGCTCCTCGAGCCGCGGGGCGACGGCCCGCGGCCCGACGGAGGCCATGGCGGACCTCGCTGGGGTCGAAGGCTCGCTGGCCCGGGCGTATGTCGCCCGGCAAGGCCGAAGAAAGGAGCCTGGCCCAACACGAGCCCAAAGCCGGCGGGTAGGCGGCGGCAAGTGGTGTGAGATGGCCGTGCAGCAAGACCGAGTGTTTATGTCGGATGCGAGGTCGATCTCCCAGGGACTGTAACGCTCTCAGGTTTGTCAGGATTCGGGTAGGTTTCCGATAGGCCGTGCCATACATGCTCATATCGAAGTTTACCTCGACGACGTCCGCGAGTCCATGAAGGCGAGCGATCGGGTCGAAGCTCCAGAGTCTCGAAGTCCGGGGGTTTTCCACACTCCAATAACACCCACGACGTGATAAGATGTGACATAACGTAGCCGTAAACAGTGCGAACTCGATGCCTAGACGTTCCCGGGCCCTGGCTCGAACATGGTTTCGGATCCCCCTCCGAGCGATACTCCAAACCTGACAAGGCGTTCCCAGGTGTACATATATCAAACGCCCTTCTCGGGCCAGCCTCAGGATATACTCTTGTGTACTGCGACGCGAGAGATCAAATTCCCAGCCGTCTCTGATATCAACTGAATCCGCGAAGGGAAGCCCCTCCGCTAGGCAGGCTCGAGTCAGCTCCCCCTTTCCGCCGAAGAGCTCCATACAAAAAACTGATTTACCAGGCTCGCTCTGAATTGACGGGCGTACAACAGATGCTGAGGATGCCGACGGAGGTGACCGAGAAGAGGAGGAGGTCGTGTAACTCGCAGCTAGAGCGGACAGGCTCGGGGCGGCGTCCCGACGCTCGGGTCCCCGGTTCAGCCCAGCCGGCTTCTTCAGGTCCCAGCGCCGGGAGTCCTCGTCACTCGGGTTACGGTCAGTCTCGATGTACCTGAGCCGCCAGGAGATCTGCCCCCCTAGGCGGTAGGCGGCTGCGCGCCTGCAAAGGGCCTGCAGGCCCGCGCTGGAGCGGCCCTTCTCGAAGGCCCCGACGGTGACCTGGCTGTCGCTGATCGAGAGCAGCTTTGTGCCCATGAACTTCACCGATCGGCAGTGTCGTCGGAGCCCCATCAAGGCGACCCTCGCCTCCTTGAGGTTGATGTGCTCGTCCTGCCAGCGCCAGCGGTCCGCGGCGACCAGCTTGTAGCGGCGCCTGGCCACCCAGCTGTCCCCCAAGGCGGGGATGCCCGAGTCAAGATGCAGCTGGGTGCGGCCTCGAGCCGGCTTCACAGCGCGGCTTCGGGCCGGAGAGGGAGCCAGGCCGCTCGCCCCCTCCGGCGCCTCCGCCTGACTCAGCAGGGACTGGCCGAAGGCGGTCCTCGGGCCAGAGGCGGTGCCGGGCGTGCCGCCGCGCACGTAGTCGAGCCCGCTGCTGACGTGGCCTGTCACCGTCGGGACGTCGCGGTACCGCCAGCGTTCTCTCCACTTCCAGGCTTCTCGGAGCTCGGTCGGCTCGGCGGTCGTCACGTGGAGTGCGTAGCCGCGGCCGGACGAGTCCCCGCAGTACACCTGGTCCGAGTAGGTCGCGCCCAAGTCCGCCTCCATCAGGAAGAGCAAGTTCATCGAGCAGCGGATCTCGGACTTTACGGAGGGCCAGACCCGCTTGGGCGACTCCAGCGACTCCTCGATGAAGCGGTAGCAGGCGTTCAGCGCGGACATCGCCTCGGGGCAGAGCTGGTTCAGGTTCACGACGTGCCCCAGCCAGCACTGGAGCGTGTGCCCGTGGAGCTTGCGGCGCCTCAAAAGGGCGTGTCCGGCCATATAGGTCCGCCAGACGCGCCGAGCCACGTGCCTCAGGCGTCGCTCCCGCCAGTGGTACACCAGGCCGAGGGACTGCATCTCCAAGCTGTTCCCCGGCTCCACGTCGAAAGGTACGCGGTCCTCTCGAAAGAGATTCTCGATTTTATGCATCTGAGTGTTGGCGTCAGCCTCGCAGCCCCCGATCACCTGCACGTTGTCCACGTACACACCGGCGACGCACTTGCCGGGCTCGATGGTCGGGGCAGGCTGCATCTCCCTCATCACCTTCTCGGCCCCGTCGGGCAGCGCTCGCTGGACTCGGTAGGTCACGGCCTCGTTGGCGAAGTAGAGCGCCCAGGACCAGCCCATGCACACCGCGCACATGCAGGGGTAGAGCTGCTCGCCGTCCACGACCTCGGTCTCGGCCCCCTCGGCGTCGTCCCAGATCGAGCCCGGCAGGCAGCCCATCTCCGTTAGCTCGCGGGTGTCGAACCGGTCCGCGAAGCCGAACCAGCTCGCCAGCTCGGGGATGGTGAAGTTGTAGAAACAGTCTCCGACGTCCCCCTCGCGGCCAGCTGGGCTGAAGGCCCCGGAGCCGAGGCCCCCGAAGCCCGATGCCTTCAGACGGGGATCGGAGAGGTCGAGGTCGGCCATGCATCGCGAGGAGCCTAGCCGAGTAGTGGGAGGTGGCCGATGCGCCCGATTGGCCGCTCGGGCGTCGATGATCAACCTCTGGAGCCCGTCCTTTTTCTTGACCACGAAGATGCCCGCATGCCCCTTCAGCCGCCGACGCCAAGTCAGCAGGCCCTGCTGGTCCAGGCGCTGGTACAGTCGCTTCCGAAGGTCTCGCGAGCGCCGGAGGAGGGGGTCCCAGTACGGCGTGACGCCCACTCCCTCGGCTCGATCTCTCTCAAGCTCCGCTTCGTCCATCTCGATCAAGTCGGAAGCGTGCCGAAGGTAGCCAGCGGCCGACGCGGGCAACTCCCGGCGCATCGGCCGAACGTGGACCTTCCTGTGCAGGATCTTGACCTTGTCGAAGTCGAAGCTGGCCAAGTTCTTGGGCTCCATCCCGTAGTGGTCTCTTGAGTCGAGGATCTCGTGCAACGATGACTCCTCTGTGAGGTCAGCGGGGCAATCTCCATACGCCAGTACACGCCGGGCGACATTCTGGATCATCCACTGCTGCACGGCGGTCGGCCGGAGGTGCCCTTCTGGTGCGCGGTCGTGCCCCTGGGCGCGACGTGAATTCACGTTGGCGGCGGCAAGCTGGTTCAGGGCCCGAACCGCGTCAAAAACTTGCCGTTGCCGCGCAGAGCTGCATGCAGAGCCGAGGCCACTCGGATCGCAAGGCAGAGGAAAAGGGTCTCCATGCCGTCGATCTCGTGACCGGATCCCTCCAGGAATAGAGGGGGCTAGCCCACGTCTGTGTCGGCCGTGGGGGGGCTCTCTCGGCGCCCGGGCTGCCAGCGCCGGCTCCCCCACAGCCCCGAGAGGCGTCATCCTCCCTCGCCGGCGCCCTCGGCGCCGGCCTTGCCCCCTCTCTTCTTCAGCTTCTTCTTGGACGGGTCGTAGCCGTCGCCGCCCTTGCCCTCCTTCAGGTTCGTCTTCTGCTCCTCCCGGTACAGGCGCTCCTGCTTCCAGATCTGCGCCCTCTCCTTGAGCTTGTCCGTGACCCAGGAGTTGAACTTGTTCGTCGTCGCGCGGCCCGCTGCATTCACCGGGGCCGAGATCACTATGTCCAGCCCGCTGTAGTCCGGGTGGCGCGGGTTGCGCTCTACCGCTATCTCCGTCTGAACCAGCCAGCGCACGATCAGCTCCGCAGAGGCCAGCATGGAGGCGTCGACCTGATCCCAGGAGTGCATGAGCCGAATCACCTCGCACAGGTTGCGGTGCACATGGTTGACTGCCGAACCCTCACCGACCCCGCTGAGCCGCTCCCACTCCGCCTGGTACGACGTCATGTTGCCGGGCCCCGAGGCCACCGACTCGAGGAACTCCTTCACGCTCCTCACGCCGGCGAGCGGGAAGTTCGGCTGATCCGTGTCTCTCATCAGCGCGACCGCCTCCGAGAGCCTCAGACAGCGCTGCCCAGCATCGTCGAGGTGGTCCCCGAGAGTGCGCACGTCCCCGAGGTCCGCCTTGGTCTCCTTCTTGAAGTCGTCGAGCTTGCTGGCCGCGATCTTCTGCACGAAGATCTCCTCCCCGTCCACGACCGCCACCCCCTTCGTGTCGAAGCCCGTGCCGCGGGCGTCGTCGTCCATGATGGCCGAGTCGATCACCTCGCCGAACCTCGCCGACCGGGGCTCGGCCACCACCCAGATCATCCTCTCGACCACGTCGACCTGGCCCACGCCCAGCAGCTGCCCCTGGATCTTCGCACGGCGGCGGAAGCCCGCCAGGGCGGCGGCGGCGATGGGGTCGTGGGCATAGACCTGGTGGCCCAGGTGGGCCGGGAACGGGGCTCGCCTCTCCAGCACCTCGTGCCGGATGTCCAGCAGCTTCAGGCGCACCAGCGCGAGGTCAGGGGTCAAGCTGATCCAGATGTCGTCCGACACCCTGAAGAGCAGCACTCTGTGGTGCCAGAGGAAGCCGTTCTCGTCATCTGGGTAGTGGACCAGGATCTGCGGGTCGCCGATGTCCAGCGTCAGCACATCCGCCATCGGGCTACAGCTGCCTGCGGCTCGGCGTCGAGGGCCCTCGGCCCGGCTGCGGGCACGTCAGCTCTTCCACCGCCGCCGCCCTCGAGGCCGCGGCCGGTTGGGCGCCGGGCTCGGCCGCCCGGCTCGGCGCGCGCTCTCGCCCGCCGCAGCGACAGCGTCGGCAGGCCCCCACCAGGAAGCCCAGCGTGCCAGCCCCAGAGGCCACGGCGCCGAGCAGCAGGAGCCCGGCCAACAACAGGCACCGCAGCGCCCACACCTCCGACTGGAGGAGGCCGACCTCCTGCTGGAGGTCGATGATCTTGCGCAGCTCCCAGTCGCAGGAGCAGCGCTCAGAATCCTCCTGGCAGTGGCCGGAGGTCGCGAGCGGCGCCGCGAGGGCCGCCTGGGTGGAGACTCCGCCCCAGCCCCAACTCCAGCAGGCGCTCCAGGTCGCCCCCCAGGCCGTGAGCAATGTCGCCCACAGCGGAGGCGCCCCTCCGTCCATGCAGGGGCCGCCGCGGCTGGGGGCCTCTCAGACTTGAGCCACCGCAGTTGCGGAGGGTCAGCATTTACACGCACGGGCGAGGAGGGGCCTGTTGGGGTATTCACTATACACATCGGCAAAAGCCTATAGAAATGCATACGCATACCGTGCACATATACATATACGTGTACTGCCGCATGTGAATATGTATATATACATAAGTATGTGCATCTATATATATATATATATATACACACACCTATACTCACATAGTTACATAGTCTTATATACACACGTGTACACATACGCATGCATGTTTACATGCATATATGTATACACATACATATACAGATGCATACGTATATAAACATGCACATATACAGACACCTGTACATAATCTGATACAATATATACATATATATATATATATATATATATTGTATGCGCACCTGCATGTACTTATATACATGTGCATGTACACATACACGTGGAACTCGCTCGTTCTCTCTCTCTCTCTCTCTCCCCCCTTCCTTGTATCGCCATCCCCTCGTTTCTGCCCGTCTCCCGTTGGCCCTCTCCTATCGGCTCGACCCCGTGCCTGAAGCCACGCCCACGGTCGCCGAGGGCCATGCTTGCTGGCAGGCAAACTATTCTAAACCTTCACCGCATGACCACCTGCTGATGAGGAGAGAAACATGGGGGCAACGACAAGAAGAGGTAGGGGCAGGAGGAGGCGCAAGGAAGGAGGGGGCGGGGAAGGGAGGAGGCGAAGTCGAGGGGGAGAGAGGAAGGCGGGAAGGGGAGGGGGCAGAGAAGGGGAGACCAGGAGGGGGAGAGGAGAGGAGGGAGAGAAGGGGGAGTGGGCGGGGCTGAGCGTCTGACTGTCTCACTCCTCGTGCGTCGCCTCCTCCTCAGTTGCCTCATCCTCATCCTCACCCTCATCATCATCCTGATCATCCTCCTCCTCCTCGGTCATCATCATCATCCTCATCATCAACACCATCATGCTCATCATCGTCCTCATCATCCTCCTCACCATCATCAGCATCATCAGCATCATCATCATCATTATCATCACCATCGGCATCATAAAGTATCATCATCATGATCATCATAAGCAGCAGCAGCAGCAGTCTCACAGCCACTCAATCATCATAATCACAATCATCATTCTCAACAGCATGAGCGTATTTCGTCATCATCAGCATCATCCTCGTCGTCATCGTCGTCGTCATGAACATCATCATGATCAACAATATCCATATCAGCAACAGCATCATCAACATAATCAGAAGCAGCATCATCATCAGCATCAGCATCAGAATCATGATCATCGTAAGCATTATCAGTATCGTCATCATCCTCATGATCCACATCATCGTCGTCGTTCTCCTCACCACCACGATCATCAGTATCGTCATCAGCAGAAGCAGCATCATCATCATCAACATCACCACCATCAGTCATCATTATATATCATCACTGTTATCAGCAAAAGCATCATCAGCATCGTCAGCAGCATCATCATCATCACCACCACCAACACCACCCCCACCAGTATCATCATCATGACCAGCAGCATCATCATCATCATCGTCGCCTTCGTCAACACCATAACCACAGTCCTCATCATCATCGTCATGATCACCATCCTCGTCGGCAGCAGTATCAGCATCCTCGTCATCAACAAAAGATCAGTATCACCATCATCATCATCACCAGCAGCATCATCATCATGATCATAAACACCCGTATCGGCGGCATCATCAGCAGCATCATCGTCATCATCATCATCAGCATCAGCAGCATCTACCTCATCATCATGATGACAATGCTCAGAATCATGATCGTCGACCATCTCATCATTATCACACAATCATCAGCATCATCATCATCGTCATCATACTCATCATGAAAATCATGATCAGCATGATCATCCTGATGATCATCACCATCGTCATCGACAGCATAAGCATCAGCAGCAGCATCATCATTACCATCATCAGCAGCAGCATCATCAGCATCCGTATCATCATCTTTATCATCATCATCATAATCATCATCATCATCCTTATCCTCATCGGAATCATTCATCAACATCAGCGTAATCATCAGCGACGTCGTCATCATGATCATCATCATTACCATCGTCGTCATAAACATCATCCTCAGTATCATGATCAGTATGATCACCATCATCATCATCATCATCGTAATTGTCTTCATCATCGTCATCATCATCCGCATCGTCATCATTATCATCAGTATCATGATTACCATCACTATCATCATCATCATCATCATCATCATCATCATCATCATCACCATCATCGACATCAGCGTCATCATCAGCTACGTCAGCATGATCATCACCATCATCATCATCAACATCATCATCAGTCATCATCATTCCCCACGATCTCGTCAGCAGCAGTAGTACCGCGTACTCCTCCCCCTGCTCCGTCTGCTTCTCCTCCTCCTCCTAATCCTCCTCCTCCTCCTCCTAACCCTTCTCCCCCACCCCCTTCGCAACATCCTCCCCCTCATCCCCCCCTCCTCCCCCTCTTCCTCGATCCCGAATCCTTACATATAGCTCCCCCCTGTCGACCCCGAGGCCAGTCAAAAGGGCGGGCTGGGCGCTTCGCCTGAGACTTCCTTACCACGTATGACCCTGAAGCTTGAAATTTGCAACAGTTCCACGGAGGGCGGCCCGTTTTCAAAATGTGGCTGTCGCCCTGGCGCCGCGCACATTCGTTTCAAAATTGCACGAGCTTCACAGATGGAGGGCCGTTAATTTTTCAAAATGTGGCTCTCGCCTCAGCGCCGCACACATTCTTGTTAAGAGTTTGCAAAAGTTGCAAAGATTGTCAGGGTTAGAGACGAGCAGAATGTTTCTTTGCATTGGTCTCCAACGTAATGTTTCGACACGATGTCGGAAAGTCAGGGCGCAACAGTTACGTCGATTCACGGGGTTGAAGTCCCAAGAATGGTGTTCTGGCAATTTGCAAGATCGTCAAGACGCAACAATAACAATGATTCGCAGAGTGGGAAGCAAGGACTGTGCGGGCACAGCTCGAATGTTTAAACGACTTTGCTCCAACGTGGCATTTCCCTCAGAGAAGTGAGGCCTTGTATGTAGGACCCTATGAAGAGGGAACCGGAAGGAGGCCTTTGTAAGAATATCGTTGATGAGTCTAGATTTCCTCCTCCTCCTCCTCCTCCTCCTCCTCCTCCTCCTCCTCCTCATCATCATCATCATCATCATCATCATCATCATCATCATCATCATCATCAGCATCATCATCATCCATCATCATCACCACCACCACCACCACCACCACCACCACCACCACCACCACCATCATCATCATCATCATCATCATCATCATCATCCTCATCCTCATCCTCATCCTCATCCTCATCCTCATCATCATCATCATCATCATCATCATCATCCTCCTCCTCCTCCTCCTCCTCCGCGTTCCTTCTCTCCCTTTTCCTTCTCCCTTTCATCATCTTTTTCCTCCTTCTCTTCCTCCTCCTCCCGCTTGGCAGCTCGGTTCCTTCGTGTCCTCTTCCGCCATGGCCGCGGGAAAGGGGGTTTTCGGCGGATGCGGCGGCCAAAGCTCTCGAGCCAGGTTTGCTGGCGCACGGAAGACAGCGCGGGCCGAGCAGGAGGCAGGGGGGGCAGCGCACGAAGACAGTCACAACGAGCACCAGGAGAGAGGAGCAGCCAGAGGAGGAGGAGGAGGGCTCCAACTGCAGACCAGACGAGGATCCCAACAGGCGAACTGCTGCAGAACCTGAGAACCAGACTGGTTGGGAAAGAGAACTGGAGAACTGGAGAACCTGAATCGGCGATACATCGCCGATAGATCGGCGATAGGCCCCCAATACAACAGTGAATCCGCAAGCTCATGGGCGGGGACGGGCTATCGCACCCCTATTGGCGATGGATGAGCGATTCGGGGGTCGATATGTCCTACCTAAGCCTATCCCCCCTTAACGTTGCCCATGAAAAACGTGGCGAATGAGCAAGACTGAACTCGGAGACGTCGGAGTTGATCTTGGTCATCGTTCATTCGCGGATCACCCTTGCGGATCAGCAACAAATGGCATGGACCATAACCAAAATCGGCGTCGGCAAAATCCAGCGAAAAGTCGCCGTGTTTCTTCCCTCGGTTTACGATGGTGTCCGATGAGATTTGGCTCGCCGCCCAAAGCCCCGGCGGCCTTCGACCTCCAGTGGACGCCCAGCTTTCTGATGAGGCGCGGGACTTTCCGCGCCCACACCCCACGCTCCTCCTCCTCCTTCTCCTGCTCCCCCTTCTCCTCCTCCTCCTCCTCCTCCTCCTCCTCCTCCTCCTCCTCCTTATCCTGTGGGTACCATGGGTGGTACTAAAGGGGTATACCATGCCTAGCACAACAAATCCGTAGGCACTAGCCCAGGTTACAGGCGTGTGACAGATATTCCCCCTAAATGGCGCTGCTATCCTGCTGTGGGGAATGAATTCGACACTCAGTATCTGCTCCTCCTCCTCCTCTTCCTCCCGAACATACACACAGACACAAAATACCGCCGGGGATTTTGGCCTGACGTGCGTGGTGGAGGAGTGGGAGGAGGTGCAGCTCGAAGAGGATAAGCCCTATGTATGCGAGGAATGGGTAAGGAGG